CATCATGCAGTGCAGCAGAATCTCTTAAATGAGCATAAGGGGAAAATTTGGAGTCCTGCGTTGACTTTTCATGGATAAGTAAACAGGTTATATGCCTTAACTTCTTTAGGCAAGAACTGCATTTGAAATTCAAGCCACTTACTTCCTTAAAATTAAGTCTTTCATTACTCTTGCCAGCACTATTTTGTTTCACAGCCAGAAGGGAGTGGAAGGCTAAATCAAGTCTGGAACTGTCTTATGCCTAAATAAGGCTGCCATACAACAGCTACTCTACTGCTTGCTTTATATGCAGTTGCTGGTATGGCTGAAAATTAAACTCAGCAATTTTTCCAGGGGGATTGGCATACTGACTCAGCTACACCAGTGCTACAGCTGGCACAGTTATATGTATTCCTGTTACCCTTAACAACCTGTTTTCTAAGCAGATTTTTTGTGAAAAATACACTAAATGTAAGCAGTCAGTCAGAAAGGAGCAGCTGTTCTAGCATGCAGCAGCCAGGACTTTATTTGTATAAAATGCTGTGTGCAGTCCAGCCTGCAAGGAAGACAACTTTAAATAAAAACTATGCACCACTTTAGGACTAGCTCTTCTTACCACTGCAGTATAGACATCTTGGCTTGGCCTTTCTGTAGTGAAAGGAAAAGAGGGCTTGAGTCCTTAAGCTTGTCAAAAATACCAGAATAAGGTTCCCATGTCAAAGAATTCCTAGAGAGTTGGCAACCTGAGTGGTCCTGTACTAGAAATAAGTCATCAGTGGAAAGATAACTGGTGCTGAATTTGTCTCAGTTAAGATTAAGGAGATAGCTTCTTATACTTGGAACTACCTACAGCTATGTAGGTAACTGAGACAACTACAGTTCAAGATTAGAGCCAGTTGCTTTAAAGAGACATTTTGGTTAGCAAATCTATTAGCAGTTAGTAGAAACTAAGAGCAGTGGTTGCTTTGTCATACAAGCTAGTCATGAGAAAGTCAAAACTGTACTTTTGAAAAAAAGACTTTTATTTAAAAGTAATGAAAACTTTGGAAAAAGTATAAGTTAAATCATTTCATTTGTCAGTGTATCTAAGAAGCATAAAGCATATTCCTGCAGTTGTATACAGTAGCCCCAGCAACATGATTTGCAAGTCCATTCCTTCTTTCAGCCAGGTTAAACATGGTTGCAACACATAAGAAGGCTTCTCAGATGAGTTACAGCAGTCGCTCATAGAACAGGAGGTATGCTTGCGAGCTCAGCACTTTTGATGCAGACACAGCTTGTACATGGGTATCGCTAATGTGGAACCACTGTCCTTTTACTGGTTCAGTTTCTAAAGCTGTAAAAGAAAATTTAGGAGGCAAAAGTTACTAAAAAGCACTGAAGTAGACATGTTACTGTTCTGCAGCAAGAACTAATTAAAAAAATATTCCTAATGTTCACCTTGACTAGATTCTCCTCGAAGGACAAGGTCAGAAAGGCGATTGTTCATATTTCTCATTTTGGCATAAGCTGTGTAGTGTCCAGATCTCATTGTGCCGCTATGTTCAACAACTCCATAGAGAGAATACAATACTTTTGTATTCCTTTCAGCCACGTTCTATAAGAGCAAAAGCTTAGGTATGTCACTGAATTTTAAGAAGGCTAGAATGTCATCTCTGCAGTCTGCTGTTTTGTTGACCGATGAACAGAAAATTGGTCACCACAGCTTCATGCATACTACCACAACTATGACCAGCAGAAGTACAATGATAGACACACATGCAACTTAAACTTACAAGATATCCTGTACTATCATGCAAAACAACTGAAACTTGATAAGCATTGCACAAAAGGATTCTGCTGAGCAGCTTAATTTTGAAAACATGTTAGAGTACGGACAGGGAGAATCCATTCCCCTCCATCATCACCACTTACTTTACATTTAACAGAACAGAAAGGAGCCAAGTCTAGCACTTCTGGAAACTTGATATGCCTGTTAACTTTCCGCAGATTAAATCCAGCCTTAATAGGACATGAAAAAAATGCCAGTGTTAGAATATAACATATTAAAACCATGCTTATCATCAGTTACTATAGATATTAGGATTGTTAGCTTTAATGTGAAACAAGACATAAAAAATAAGGTTTACAATAAGATGGACAAAACTGCTTCTTCCCCTCTATCCCTGCCTCTTCCCCTTCTGCTGTTTCCCCCTCTTTGCCTCTACATGCTGCACTGGAGCACAAGTTAAGACAGCTCTCTAACTCACTCTTTTGGTATCTTAACAATGGTAGCAGAAAGGGAGAGGAATCAGCTCTACACACTTATATTAACTAACTACTTTGAAGGCATCTCTTCCTTCTCAGATATTGTAGAACTCCTCTAGCATGCATGACAATCCAGTTCTGGATTGCCAGAAGTGAAGGAACTTCTACTCCTACCCTAGTCAAATAATATTCCAGTATCAAAATTAGAAAACCAGGAAAAGACAACATCTATTTCCTTAATCATATTCCAGTCTCTTGTAGAATTGATTTTCATCTACTTAAGAGCTACACCCGTTATTTTTCAAGCATTTTGACTAAATCACTTAACAGCTTTAAATTTAGAAAAGGCGATACTGTCTCACATCCCCGTTCCTTTTGGGTTGCTTTCTTGAAAAGCTAAAGCCCTAAATTAAGAATTTTCCTGTAACTTGGAAAAAAGGGTAAGCCACCTTTACTTTGGTGTCTATAGATAAGGCTTAAGTTGCCTTGCTTTCTGTTCACCCTTCCCACCCCCCCTCTCAGTAAGGCTCCAGTTTTTCCTCTTTTCCAACTCTACTGGCCTGTTTGTTGCATTCATTCTGTAGGGGATCCTATTGTGCCCGTACTCAAAAGTGTGAGTCCAAGAACTGCTGTAATAGCAGCAAGCAGTTAATACTACGTACGGCACTACTTCATACAGTAAGCAACAGTAACAGCAAATGAATACACTGCAAGTGTTCCCAAAATAGTGTTTCCCAGAAAGCTAGCAGAATGTTCTTTCAGCTGAAAGCAAACACACCGCCACAAACAGGAAAACCCACCAATGCCTCCCAAACCTGGAAAAAAACAGCCTTACAAAAGAGCCAGTGTTAGCATGCTTTCAATGTTACGTTACTACTATACAGCTATATACATATTAAGCTGGTACTATATACATACATATTTTTGCAACACCAGCCTGCAAGTTACCTGTTGAAATCTCTTTAAGTGAAGAGTTAAAATTGGAGGAGCAAGAGAAATAAGCATTTGTTTTTTAGCATTGGTATAAACATACTTCTTTTCACCTACAGAAAACAGAAAGTACCAGTGATTAACATCTAAACAAGTGTTACAGCAAGAAATTTTCACTATTTTAACAGTTGCAATGTCATCTACTCATCTACTACAGTGACTAAGAAAATGAAGGCTTCCCTTCAACAGGGTCAGCTGTACAACAGCTGCCTTCTTGCAGATCCTGTGTCACAGAAGCAACTAGCTCACACCATATCTGAGCAACATCAGCATGAGCAGGATGAATTCTTCTAGGTTCTCAGCAGCTCCCCTAATCAGAAACTGCATGGGGCTTTTATTGGTCTTTCGAGCAAATGCCAACGCGATTTCCCTGCGACTGTTATAGCAGAACATTCGCATTAAAGAACAAGAAGTCATCTGCTAAGTAACTGCTCCCTACATTCATCCACCTAATGTTTTAGACTGAAATGCCCTCCTTCCTCCCTGCTCAAAAAACCCTAAACCAAACTGACTCCTCCTCCCTCCTTCTATGCTGCAGTATTCTGGACCCAAGCTTGTGAACCCCCTGTTCTGCTCAAGTGCTTACTCGAATTAAACTGTGGAAAAGTAAGAGGTTCTCACAGTCTGTCCTTTAAATACTAGTTCTGCTGACCTAAGATTAGGATGCAAGTTACACAACTGCTGCTTCAGGAACACCCCATTCACCCACCCACCCACTGACCCATGCAGCAGATAGGGACAGTTTTAAAGTTTTCTTTTAAAAGATAATTTATCATACTTTTTATGTTGTTCTTTGGTCCACAATGTCTTTGTGTACATACATCACAGAGTATTTTATTGGTCTCACTAAGTTTTTCATTACGGGTAAAGTGATATAAACAGTGATGGATTGAACCTTCTTCTAGGTTCAGGTCTTCCCTGTTTGCAAGAGTACCAAATGCTGTTTCTGGATCTTCAGTCACCACTTCATGAATCTTTGTTGGAACAGTTTGAAGGTCATCTAAACTATTTAGATCAGATTCAGTATTGGCACACAAGTGTAGTTTTGAAAAGTCAGTAGCAAGCTCCTCCTCCTCTTCATTATCATCATCTTCTTTCAAGGACAGGTTGTCGAAGCCATTGACAAACTTTATAGGAGATCCTAAGTTTTCCATAGGGAGATCTGTTGGAGATTCGTGTTCCACATGCTCCTGTTCTGGCTTTCCTGTGTTTTTATGCATGCTCTGAACATCCATACTGATTCCCTGTATACTTAAGTCTTTTTGCATTATGCAGTCATCTCTGCAGTCATTTGCTGATCCTTCTTCTTGCTTTAGGTCAGGTTTTTCAGAATAAGTTTCTGCCTTTATTTCCTG